TATAAATTATTTGAATGGAATTTTTTTTACTCTTCCTAAATTATTAAATAAAATTGTTTTCTAAATAATAATTGGAAAAAATAAAATTGTTTTCTAAACTATTATCGGAAAAATTAAAAATGTTTTCTAAACTATCATCGGGAAAAATAAAATTGTTTTCTAAATTATTAACGGGAAAAATAACATTTACAATTACCAGAACAAGAATTACTTTCAAAATTATAATCTAGAAAAATAAAATTATTCTCAAAATTATAATCTAGAAAAACAAAAATATTCTCAAAATTATAATCTAGAAAAATAAAATTATTCTCAAAATTATAATAAAGAAAAAAAAATTTATTTTCTAAATTATTTTCATCAAGAAAAAAATTATCTTCTAAAATTATCATCAAGAAGAATAAATTTGAACTTATCTTCGAGAGGAATAAAAATATTTTCTAAATTACAGACTTAGCACTCGATAATTATTTTTAAAAAATAAGCAAAAAAATTTTATAAAAATAGAAGATATTGAAAATCATTGAATTACGCAAAGTTTTTAAAAATAATTAAATTTTACAAAGAATTCTATTAAAATTTTTGAGAATAATTGAATGTCTGTGTGGTATTTTATTTAATTTTTTTGAAAATAATTGAATTCCTAAAAAGTATTTTATTATTTATGAAAATAATTGAATTCTTGCGAACGATTTTATTAGAATTTTTGAAAATAATTGAATTCCTGTGCAATAATATAATTATTCTTAAAAAATTTAATTTCAATTCCTCGAAAAAATTAAAATTAATTATTTAAAAAAAATGTTTTTTTTTCACAGGAATTCAATTATTTTCAAAATATTTTAATACAATTGTTCGTAAGAAATAAATTATTTAAAATACAATTTTAATTAAATTTTTTTGAAATAATCCAATTATTTTTTTAGATTTTAATAAAATTCTTCCCAAGAATTTAATTATTTACATAAATAATTCTTCGAAAGAATTCAATTATGTCAATAAATAACAAAATTCTTCCCGAAAGTTCAATTATTTTGAGGCATTTTATTAAAATTCTTTGCAAAATTCAATTATTTTCATAAATAACAATATTCATCACAAGAATTCACTTTTTTGTAAAAATAATAAATTTCTTCTTGGAATTTCAATTATTTTTAAAAATTCTAATAAAATAGTTCGCAAGAATTGAATTATTTTTATACATAATAAAATGCTTTTTAGGAATTCAATTATTTTCAAAAAAAATTTAATAAAATACCACACAAACATTTAATTATTGTCAAAAATTTTAATTGAATTCTTTATAAAATTTAATTATTTTTAAAAACTTTTTTTGCAATTCAATGATTTTTAATATCTATACTATTTTCATAAAATTTCTAAACAAAATTCAATTATTTAAAAAAGTTTTGTAAAAATCTTCATAGGAATTTAATTATTTTCATGAATAATAAGAATTTCTCAGGAATTCAATTATTTAAATTAGAATTTGTATAAAATTATTTGAAAGATATCAATTATTTAAAAATTTTTATAAAATTCCCTAAGTCCCACACTCTATTTCACGTGCCTTAACGACTGTGACGATCGCCAATTTTTATTATTTTAATATAATAATTTAAAATTTAATAACTTTTTCAACATTTACTGTAATATTTTTTATTTAATTGAGTTGCATTCCAACAGGTTTTACTGTATCGAATTATGTTTTTGTATAATTTTTTTTTAAATTGAATTAATTAGGATAAATTGTGTATATTTTTATTTTTTTTTATTTTTGAAGTACTTGTGAGTTTTGAGGGTGAAGAAAATGAGTGAAAGAATATTAAGAGAAGTGTGAGGTGGATAATCCTTTTTATGAGAAGGTCCCCGGCCTCTCGGCCCTCGAAACAACCAGATCTTATCGCAGGCGATAAACTTAGCTACGAATTAGTGGAATCGCGACGCGATAAGATCAACGAATGCGTTTAGGCGCGCGCTGGCTTGGATTTATCGAGAAATTAAATTAGGAATTATGCTAATCGAGACCTCCGTCTTGTCTCTCTCTCTTTCCCTTTTCTTTTTATTTGTTCCATTTTCTCACACTAAAAATACATAGGGACGATTATGAAAAAAATTTCTTTCTCGTGCGTATAAAGTAAATTTTGATAATTTTCTTCTCTTTCGCATGATCAAAATTCTAGAAAATAATTTTATTCTTCTGGGTGATAATTTGAAGAAAATAATTTTTTCCTCGATAATATTTAAGAAATAAAATCTTTTTCCTGGATTTTAATTAGGAAAGTAATTTTACTTTTCTGGATAATTTATGGGAAATAATTTTCTTTCTTGATTGAAATTTAGAAAAAATATTTTTATTCTTCTTGATGATAATTTTAGAAAATAATTTTTTCCTCGATGATAATTTAGAAAATAAATCCGTTTTTCTGGATTATAAATTATAATTAGGAAAGTAATTTTAATTTTCTGGATAATTTATGAGAAATAATTTTCTTTCTCGATAGAAATTTAGAAAATATTTTTATTCTTTTCGATGATAATTTAGAAAATATTTCATTCTTCATAAGATTTTTATAAAAATTGTTTTAAATAATTAATTTTTTCGAAATATGTATAATAAATATGAAAATTTTATTTTAAATAATTGAAATTCTTCGATGAGTTTTTTTATTTACGAAAATAATTGAATTCTTGCTTAGTATTTTATTTAAATTTTTTTTAAATAATTGAATTTATATGAAAAATATTATTATTAGTGAAAGTAATTGAATTATTGTGAAGAATATTGTATAAAAATGTCGTTAAATAATTGATTTTTCCGAAATTCTTTTGAAAATGCTATTCTAAATTAATTGAATTCTTGTGATATTATTTATAAAAATAATAGAATTTTTAATTAACTTTCTAATACATTAAAATACTAATTTCAATTAATTCTTTAATACATCAAAAAATTCATTTTAATTAACGTTATTAAATTACGTTGATTAAAACTTTATTTTAACAGAGAAATTAAAAAAAAAAAAAACTTTGATGTATTCTTTTATAAATTCAAAGGACATTTAAATTCCCTCGTTGGCTCATGAAAAGAGGTGTGCAAAGATTCATCATAAGACTGTTTTGTTACAGTAGTGTGAATCCCCACCGAAAAAACACACTATGGAAGAGTCGTTTTTGGAATTTCGAGATAACTTGTTAATTTATGAGCTGGACAATGAATAAAAATTCCCCAAGGCTTCTCCGATCCGAATCTCGATCGTCGTCTGTCTCTATAGACGGGCTTAAATCGTATTTCAAGCAACTTTACAACGAAGCCAAAATGGGTACTCAGTGATTTTACGAATGCAATATTATAGAATGCGACGCCTGCTGTTTATATGGCAAAAATGCTATAAACAGTTTCCTCAACTTGATAAACAATTTTCAATTTTTTAAATACATGCCACAATTTCCAATCTCAAAAAAAAAAAAAAAAAACCTCCAAGTTTGTACTGTTGCCTCGATCTGAATTTAGAAATAAAAAATAGTTTCTAAAGTGGCATAAAATAGTTGCAATATCGCGCATTATTTATTTTAAAATAATAAAAAAAAATAAAATAAAAATAAAAAGCGTTTGCACTAAATAACACAATTTAAATTATTCTCACAAACGCGTTTTTTTAATTATAAAAAAGTTTTTTTAAAATGGCGGTTTAAGTTCTCCACTTGAGAACGCCAAGGTCGCCACCAGATCGCAGGAGAAATTCCAAGAAGGGACTAAACTGCCATCTAGCGGTGACCTTGGCGTTCGCAGGTGGAGAATTGCGTCTCCATATTGAATCTGAAAGTATTCGTCAATATTCCTAATTCTATAATTATTTATAATCAAATTTAGACAGTTTGGCAATTAATACAAACGTCTTTCAATTTTTTATTTTCTTTCCCTTTTGATATTTTTATCCCCTTCAATATTTTTAAGTAGAATTAATTTCTTCACTTTAAAATCTATATTTAAAATACCCTTTTAAGAAATTAAGTTTCATTTTTAACAAAGTAAGTAACTAATTATGGATCGTCCATACATTACGTAAGACATTTTGGGGGAGGGGGGTCTGCTAGACGGCCCCTTAGTGACTAATTTATAAAAATAGTAATAAAAATATTTTTTTGAGGTAAAAAAAAGTGTCAATAGTCGCGTGAGTCCGAAAATAAGAAAAAAAAAAGTATATAAATGTGTTTTGTTTGTAAAATAAAAAATGAATGAATGAATCGAGAAGAAAACAATAACGGATTGATCCTTCGGGAAGATTCGGATCGAGTGTGTGGGTCCATGAAACGCCATCGTCAAGTAACAAGGCAACAATAAATCTAAAGGGAAAACGGGTATAGTCACATATACAAGTGTTACGGCAACAAAAATCCAGTGACGTGTACACGAGAGCACATGGACATACATAGAGTTTCTTCTCCCGTTATAAGAGGTGTTCAGAGAAGAGTTATTTACCACAGTGATCGCGATCCCACCCCTCTCGATCCCAAGAAGGATCGACCAGTTTCCGACGATGAGGACGAAGACGACTACGAAGACGACGAATGAAAACCAATGTGTGTGATGCCGTTTTTTCGTATCATTCGTTGCATTCCGGGGGTCTAAGAAAAAGAGGTGACCCCCAGGTATACGCCACCTCTTATCTATCTAAGATCGTACAATAAATTTATCCAACATTTGCTTCCCGACACCGTTCGCGTCAAAAAACTCTCCTACCATATAACAATATTTTCATAGAACAGCGTCTGATTTTTTCTTCTACTTTTTCGGTTTTGTTTTAATAAATCTGAATTAGTCACTTTTGACTAATTATTATAAATCCGAATTAGTCTCTTTTGGCTAGTTATTATAAATCCAAATTAGTCTCTTTTGACTAATTATTATAAATCCGAATTAGTCTCTTTTGACTAATTACTATAAAGTAGAGCTTTTTAATTTTAACTCGGTATTGAGAAAAAAATACTCGACTTACAGATCGATGGTTAGCACCTTCTACTCAGGAACACTGCTTCTTATCCTTCCTTCCTTCCGCAGTCTGAAACAAAAAAAAATTAAATCTATTAATAGCATTCATAAAAATAATTTTTATTACCTTGCAGTAATAATTAAAATTTACTACTTTTCATATTTTGCAAAATCACAGATTTTCTGCAGATTGAGACAAAAAATCGAATCAAAATGTATTGCTTCGCAACACTTTTCATTCCTTTTTTGTCTCAATTTTGATATTTTCAAAAAAACTGATTGAATCTAAATAAATAATATTAGAAATTTAATAATTAATTAACAAAATTTAACAATTAACAAAATTCCAACTATTAATATTAATTATTCAATATTAATATAAAATTTTGTAAATTCTTACTATATGAACTCCTCTCGACAATGGCCAATATATCCATCCTGGAGTAAATAATCCAATACACACTCACATACTAAATTGCACTAAATCGCGATTTTATCAATTTTGAATAGCACTCCCGAGAAAACAATTATTATAAACACTACATAAAATACAGTAACGAGCGAGTATAAATATACATTTTTACGGAACGCGATTTTAAAATAAAATTCGAGCACTCCCGAGATCACGAACGCGATTTTTAAATAAACTGATATCGAATACTCGAAATTCTTTTTCGAAAGGAACGAATGTGATGAGAAATTACGTTTGTAAACATCCCAAAAATCGTTCATACGGTTTCCTGAAACAAAAATTAATTTAACATTAGTATAAGCAGTATTCAATTTATTTTTATTATGAAAATTACAAAATTTTTAATTATTCAATAATTTTAGATTCAAAATTTAAAAAATTCACTTATTAGTTACATAATTAATTAGGTATTAATGTTTATTATTTTAAACACTTCTAATAAAATTTTTGCAAGAATTCAATTATATTCTCATAAATAATAACATTCTTTGAAAGAATTGAATTACTTTTATAAACAGAAAAATTCTTCGCAGGAATTCAATTATTTTCAAAAATTTTTTAAAAACCTACAAAAATTCAATTATTTTTAACAATTTTTTTTAAATTCTTCGCTAGAATTCAATTCTTTTTAAAAAATTTTAATAAAATCCAATACCAATCAAATTTTTAATTAAAATTATTAACAGAAACGAATATTTTTAAAAGATAACAAAATTTTTTTGTAAAAATTCAATTATTTTAATTTTTATATAATTCAATAATGAAATGTTAAATTTATTACATACCTACAATTATAAAAAAAACACGATTATTTAAAAAACTTGGAAGAAATTCTTTATAAAATTCAATTATTATTAAAATTTTCAATTATAAAATTCTTTTTAAAAAACTCAATAATTATCAAAGAAATTCTTCAAAACAATTCAATTATTTTCAAAACTTTTAATGAAATTCTTCACGAGAGTTCAATTATTTTCATAAATAATAAAATTTTTTGCCAAAATCCAAGTATTTTCAATTCAATTTTAATAAAATATCATCGAAAGTATACACTTATTTTTAAAAATATTATTTAAATTCAATTATTTTCAAGAGTTTTAATGAAAATTAAATTATTTTCAACAAATCTGATAAAAAATTCTTCTGAACAATTCAATTCTTTTTATAAATTATAAAATTCTTGACGAGAATTCAATTACTTTCATAAATAAAATATTTCGGAGAAATTTAATTATTTTCAATACAATTTTAATAAAATTTCTAGGAAAAAAATTCAATTATATTCAAGATAATTTTAAAAAAATTTCTCTAACAGGTTCAATTATTTTTAAAAATTGTAATAAAATTTTTCTAAACAATTCAATGGTTCTGAAAAGTTTTTAATCAAAATTCTTTGTAAATTTCAATTATTTTCAAAATTTTCAATTAAAATTACTTTAAAAAATTACATTATTTTTACGGAATTTAAAAAAATTTTTGAAAAAGAATGTGATTATTTACAAAAAATCCAAGAAAATTGTTTAAAAGAATTTAATTTTCTATGAATAATTTTTAATAATTTAATAGGAGTAATCGTTTAATAATTTAATAGGACATAATCGTTTTTATTATTAATTGTAATTAATAATAAAAGCGATTATTTTAAAAATTTAAAAGATATTCTTCTTAAAATTCAATTATTTTCAAAATTTGCAGTGAAAATTTTTAAATAAAATTCATTTATTTCCAAGAAAATTGAAATAAATTCTTCAAAACAATTCAATTATTTTAAAGAATTTTAATAAAAATTTTGCCAAGAATTAAATTATTTTCAATAAAATTTTAATAACATTTTCTCGAAAGAATTCAATTATTGAAAAAAAAGTTGATGTAATTCTTGAAATGAATTCAATTATTTTAAAATTTTTTTTTAAAAAACTTTGAAATTTAATTTATCAAGAGTCGATTGTATTTTAAATATCAAAATAAATGAAAAATACAGTCCACTCTTTAGAAATTGAATCTCAAAAGGGACATACCCTTGAGATTCAATTTATCAAAGTACTTTAATTAATTAATTAATTAATTAATTAATTAAAATACTTAGTAATAAGTTGGATACAATTTTAAAAAATTTTTAAAACAAGTGAAAAAATAAATCAAAATCTTTGAAACATTATAAAAAATTCGAAAAAGGATTAAAAAAGCAAGAGAGAAAAAAATGAAAAATAAAATAGAATGTCAACCTTCGCGAATGTCGAATCAAGTCCTTATCTAAGTGGTAGCGAGCGAGAATATAGAAAAACACCCCGACAGACACGTTCTGCTGACAATTTCATATCAAACTAAACGACTTGTAAAACAAGCGCTTAACAGTTGCGAGATTTGTTGAGAGGGAAGGAAAAAGAGCGTTATAGCTGCGGACGGCAATCTGATTCCGCAGACACTTTGGACCAGTCTTTTTCGATCCCACGTGTTATAAGTATTCACAAACTTCCAGGAGGTCCAGCAGGCTAAATTAAGTTTACGAGAAGGCCCAGAGTGATCGGACCTCCTCTTCCTTCCATTCCTTTCTCACCTTTTTGGCTCCGCATATAATATATATACTATGCCTTCCTTCGCACAGGTGTCACATCCACACATATACATAAATGCTTTTTCTCTCTCTCTCTTTCATTCTGCTCATAAATCCTCACCAATTATCTACCCAGACACCTATCCATATACATATTCAACAATAATCAACATTCTCATATACAATTGCCGGGAATTAATTATGAATCCAAAGATCGATAAATTTCATCCTAATTGCATTTTTTTACCGCACTCTCGTTTCAAAAACTAATGTGACGCACCTCAATTACAAAACAAAAGTAAAGAAGGTACAAAAAGTTAAGGTAAAAAAGGTTTTAAAAAAACTCAAAAAATTGTAGACATTTTTTACGAATCCTAGAAAATATTGAATTTATTAAGCGCTGGAAAAATTCCCCCAAAGAAAAAATAGAAGAAACAATAAATAATCCCTTAATATTTTAGGGACTGTAGGAAAAATTATAAAAAATAATCATCAACAGAAACAATCCCAATAAAAACATTTTCGATGCAAACATTTCCGCCAAGTAAAAGTTTTTGTAATTTAACAATTAGTTAAATAAAAGTTTAGCAAGTCAATAGTTTCATCAATTATAAATTAAAAAAATTATTGACGCCAAGATTTTAAAATTGCCTTAAATAGAAATTTTTTATTAACACGAATAATAAGATTTTAAAAAACTTTTCATTTTTTGCTATGTTAATCATAAAATTAAATTTCGACTCGTTCTTTGACAATTTTCAAATCGATTTCTTTACAATATTAAATTTTTAGAAATTTCAATTATTCGTAAATTATTCAATTAAATATATATTAGAAAATAAAAACTTTTCATTTCAACATTTTCAAAAAAATTCAATTATTTAAATACACAATTCAATTTTACATAATTTCAATTATTCGTAAATTTCATTTTTAAATCAATTTTTATTAGAGAATTCAACGGGAATTCAATTATTTAAATACAAAAAAAATAATTTATTCAATAATTAAATGTTTAATTGAATTCCTATTAAGAATTTTATCAACAAATTTTTAAATAATTGAATTCTTTCGAATAATTATTTCTGTAAATAATTGAATTCTTGGGAAGAAATTTTTAAAACCAAAAAAAAATAATTGAATTATTTCCAAAAAAAATTAATTAAAATTGTGTTTCAAATAATTAATTTCTTACGAACAATTTAATTAAAATATTTGAAAATAATTGAATTCCTGTGAAAAATTCTAATATTTTTTTAAATTTAAATCCAAAGAATTTGAAAAAAAACATTTTTTTTAATAATTTATTTTTTCTAGGAATTGAAATTAAATTTGTAAGAATAACTACATTTTTTTTAGAAATTCCGGTAAAATTGTATAAAAAATAATTGAAATTCTGCCATGAATTTTATTATTTTTGAAAATAATTGAATAGTTGCAAAGAATTTTATTTAAATTTTCAAAAATAATTGAATTCCAGAAAAGAATTTTATTATTTATGAGAAAATAATTGAATTATTGCGAAAAATTTTTTTAAAATGTTTCAAAAGAATATTGAATTTCTGTGAAAAATTTTGTTGTTTTTGAAAATAATTGAATTCTTCATAAGATTTTTATAAACATTGTTTTAAATAATTAATTTTTTCGAAATATGTATAATAAATATTATGAAAATTTTATTTTTAATAATTGAAATTCTTCAATGAGTTTTATTATTTATGAAAATAATTGAATTCTTGCTAAGAAAGTTATAAATAATTGAATTTCTGTGAAATTTTTATTTTTTTTTTGAAAATAATTGAATTTCTGTGAATTCAATTATTATTATAAATAATTGAATATAATTATTAATAATATAATATAATTTATTATTATAAAATAATTATTATAATTATTTTATGAAAATAATTGAATTCCTGTGAAATTTTTTATTATTTATAAAAATAATAAAAGTTTGCGTAGAATTTTATTATATTTTTTTTTAAATAATTGAATTCTTTTGGAAAATGTTATTAAAATAGCAGATATTGAAAATCATTTAATTGAGTAAAACTTTTAAGAATAATTGAAATTTTGCCAAGAATTTTATTAAACTTTTTAAAAATATTTGAATTTTGGAGAAGAATTTAATTATATTTCTAAACATAATCAAAATTTTGACAAGAATTTAAAAAAATTTTTGGACCAAATTGAATTTCTGCGAAGAATTTTATTACTTTTGAAAATAATTAAATTTCTGCAATCATTTGTAATCTCTCTAAAATTCTCCAAATTATATTGTACAATTTACGAACTTTTACGCGGGATTTACGGACCTAGTTCGAGCCCTGAACAAATTTAGGCAAAAAATGTATCAAAATTGTTGCATCGCAACAATTTTGATTCATTTTTTGTCTAAATTTGATTGTTAAAATTATTGCTATGCAACAATACATTGTTTGCCTAAATTAGCCATAGTTAAAAAAACCAAAAGTATAAAAAAAAATTCATCAAAAGAAACAATGAAAGAACCAAAAAAACTAATTCCGAAAAAATTCTTTTTCTCATTTCAGTGGTCAGAGAGAAGAGAAGGGTAACAGTGGAGCTCTTGGCGATTCGAGTTGTGAGAGTGGCGACGACACGAAACAATTGTCAATTGGTCCTGCGTCACATAAATTACATGATCAAACACCCCAAACGCCATCGTCTTGTGCTGTTCAACAACAGCAGCAACAGCATCAGCAACAGCAACAACAACAGCAGCAATTGGATCATCCACAGACATCAAATATGTATCCATTACTGCATCCGGTAACAGTCTCGAGTCCCCATTCCTATCATCAAGGTCACACGCCAACCTTGAGTCATTCTCATACCTCAACGCATCATATGCAACCCCACGACACAAGTAGTGAGAGTGGAGACGATAAGAGGAATCTCCATCATCAGTTACAGCATCATCTACAGGGTGGTCATAGTGCCCATGGTCTCGTTCATCCCACCGCGACCTTGGCTCAACATCCATCCAGCTGTGCTCAACAAAAGACGCAGCTCGACTATATGCACCAATACTATCCACAGGTTCGCTATTATTTTCATGTTATAAATTATCTAAATACTCTAAACTAAAAAATTGCCAGGAATTTTATGTCAAACCGGCAATTTTTTCACCAAATTAAAAAAAGTTTTATTATTTTAATTTGTTTTTAAAAAATCGCTTCTTATTTCAATTTTTATAGACATTTATACTGTTCTCTAAATTTGAATTTTTCGCAATCAGCAACATCCCATTTATATCTCAATTAGAGATAATTTCTTAATTTAAAAATGAAAATTTAGTATTAAAAATCACTTACCACTGCAGTATAGTTGAACGGTGATGAATTGAAAAAATAATCTGCGATGCACCATATATTCAAACAATGTCACCTTCATGAAATAGATGATGAGAACTCCTCGTCAATCCTGATGTCCTATTGATGTACGTTGAAGTGAAGAATATACTCGTCACTCTCAAATTTCCACCTGTAAATTTAAAAAAGCACGTGTCAGTAAATCGCCTTTTTGTTTCAATTTTTATAGATATTTATACTCTAAATTTGAATTAGTGAAAAATAACTAATTTGATAGTAAAAAATCAGTCACTGATTCAAATATAGTATGTAAATAACTTTTAGAAATAATTATCGAACTAATAGAAATTTTGTGAAATTAAACTGAAAATAATTAAATTTGTTAAAGAATTTCATTAAAAATTTTTAAACAAATCGAATTTTCAAAGTATTTTAATTTAATAATTAATAAATAATTGAATTTTATAAAGAGTCACATTCTAATGTATTCAAGTTTCTAAGTTCGAAGATTAATAATTAAAATTTTTATTACTTAATTTAAAAAAAGATACACACTTCAAATTTTTCAATAGAATTGAATTTTCGCAAACGTTTTTTTTTTGAAGATTCTGAAAAATAAGATTTTTGAAATTTTTCAATTCTATCGTTTCAAGATAGAAATTATTTTCATAAATAGTAAAACTCATTGCAGAATTTCAATTATTTTTAATACAATTTTAATCGAATTCCTCGAAAAATGTAATTATTCTTAAAAATTATTATTAAAATTCGTCGAAAAAAATTCAATTATTTCTAGAAACTGTAAAAAAATTCTTCTTAAGAATTCAATTTATTACTTTCATAAATAGCAAAATTCTTCAGATTTACTAAATTCTTTTGAGTAGTATTTTAAAAAATAAATTCTTCACAAGAATTCAATTATTTTCATAAATTTCCATTAAATTCTAAAAAACAATTCAATTATTTTCAAAAGTAATCAAATTCTTCGCAGAAATTTAATTATGTTTAACAATTTTTTTCAAATTCTCCTTAAAATTTTAATTATCTTTATAAATAATTAAATTGTTTTCCAAAATTTAATTATTTTCAAAAATTGTAATAAAATTTTTTGCAACTATTCAATTATTTTCATATATCATAAAATTCATCGCAGGATTTCAATTATTTTTAATACAATTCTACAAGAATTGATCAAAAAATGTAATTAATCTTAAAAATTTAATTTCAATTTCTCGAAAAAATCAATTATTTAAAAAAATGTTTTTTTTAATTCTTTGAAGGAATTCAATTATTTACAAAAATATTAGAATTTTTAACAGAAATTCGATTATTTTAAAATATTTTAATAAAATTGTTCAAAAAAATATATTATTTTAAATACAATTTTAAATAAATTTTTTTCAAATACTTGAATTTTTTTTATATTTTAATCAAATTCTTCCCAAGAATTCAATTATTTACATAAATAATTTTTCGAATGAATTCAATTCTGTCGATAAATAACAAAATTATTACCGAAAATTCAATAATTTTTAGGCATTTTAATAGAATTGTTTGCAAAATTCAATTATTTTTATAAATAAACAATATTCATTTCAAGAAAACAATTATTTTTAAAAGTAATACATTTTTTCTTGAAAATCTAATTATTTTTAAAAATTCGAATAAAATAGTTCGCAAGAATTCAATTATTTCCATAAATAATTTTTCGAAAGAATTCAATTATTAAAGATAAAAAACAAAATTATTCCCGAAAATTCAATTATTTTGAGGCATTTTAATAAAATTCTTTACAAAATTCAATTCTTTTCATAATTAACAATATTCATCACAAGAATGCAATTATTTTCAAATGTAATAAAATTTTTCACAGAAATTCAATTATGTTTAAAAATTTTTTTAAATTCTCTTCAAAATTTCAATTATCTTTATGAATAATTGAATTGTTCTCCACAATTCAATTATTTTCAAAAATTTTAATAAAATTCTACGCAAACATTTAATTATTTTTATAAATAATGACATTCTTTTGAAGGATTCAATTATTTTTATAAATAGCAAAATTTGAATTAGTTAAAAATAACTATTTTGATAGTAAAAAGTCAGACACTGATTTTTTTTATTTTATAATTAATTCAAAATTGTAATGACAAATAGAAATCATCAGAATTATTTTTCACTTCTTTTCATTAAAAAACTAAAATTTTGTTAAATATTATGTTTTGTCAAATTGAAATTATTTTTGTTCTTTACTTCTAAAGAAAATTAGAAAATTGTTAAACAACTGTGATGAAGAAATAGAAAATTTATTTATTTTGCATTATTTTTCTTTATGAATCACAATTTTTTTAACAAAATTATTATTTTGTTTTAGAAAAAGAAGAAAAATATTTGCACAATTCCTATTTTTAATCTTATTTTTGGAACAGGATTTTCCACAGGAATTAAGACATTCAAAAATTTTAAATTCAAACCAATCAATAATTAAAGATGATCGAGAGATAAAATAATTATTTTGTATTATAAGAATATTGTTACTGTAACTTCATCAAATTTATTTTCATCATTTTAATTCAATTATTATTTTCTAGAATTTTAAATTATTTTTTATGAAAATAATAATTGAATTCCTTAAAAAAATGGATTATTTATGAAAATAATTAAATGTTTACGTACAATTTTATTAAAAATTTTTTTAAATAATTGAATTCTTTTTGGTAAATTTTATTAAAATAGTAGATATTGAAAATCATTGAAATTAGAAAAATGCATTTTATTTTTGAAAATAATTGAAATTAGGACAAGAATTTTTTTGACATTAATGAAAATAATATAATTGAACTTTGGAGAAGAATTTTGTTATTTATAAAGATAATTGGGATTTTTACCAGAATTTTATTTTAAATTTATTTTAAATTTAATTTAAAAAAAAACTATTTTGAACATATGTAGTTGAATTTTATAAGAATTTTTTTTAAATAATTAAATTTCTGCAATTATTTGTAATTTCTCCAAAATTGAATTTTTTTACTTTTCAACAAAAATTTAAATTAGAGAATTTTCAAATTCTATTATTTTTAAAATTGTTAATAATTATTAAAAAAAAAAAAGGTAGCAAGAAGTTAGTTCAGATTGAGAGAAAATATCCCAAGAAAAATAGTCCAAAACAGAAATATCAGACATTTAGTTATACGACAACATGTTGACAACATTAAAATGGACATGAAAAATGTGTCATGTTTTTTTATGTTTTTTTTTAGGACTATCTAATCACACCGACCTCGGATCTGCAGAAGTCCCTTCCCCACACATCATCGCCGATGCAAATGGGAGCGATAGCGCCAACGATGGGCGGATTGAGTCCCATGGGTCCCTCGACAATGTTATCTAATACGATGTCAAGTGTCAACCCAAATAACATCGTCTCGATGAATGGAATGGGCATGGGTTCCTATCAAGGCATGGGGATGTCAACACCGCACGGTGGTTATCCCAGTGGTCTCGTCTTGGGAGATTATCACTCGTTGTGACTTTGGACCCCAGGCAGTGAGGGTAAACGCAATCAGGAAAAGACTTAGGGAAGTAAGCAATTTGCGAAAAACAATTATTTTCAAACTAAAAAAAAGGGACACACTTTTCTTCTTTTTTTCTAATCGCCAAAAAGAATATTTCTCATGCACTATTTTACTTTTACGAATTCAGTTTCAAATTCAATTTGAAATTGAGTTTTTCAATTCGATTTGAAGTTGAATTTTTCAATTCAATTTAAACTTTTCAATTCAATTTGAAAATAAATTTTTCAATTCAATTTGAAGTTAAATTTTCCAATTCGACTTGAAATTGAATCTTTCAATTACGTTTAATTAATATTTATAATTACTCAACTCGGTAATTAACAAAGTTAATTTTATTTTACATTCTCAAAAATTCAACAATTCTTTATATACTCGAAAGCGATGGTAGAGTTGCGAAAAAATTGCTAAAACTTCCTTGAAAGTTAAGATGAAAAACATTTGTAACTATTAAAAAAAACACCCGATCGATGCTCTTTTTCTCGCCAAAAAAAAAAAAAAAAAAAAAATAAGAGCAACGTTATCGAATCAATAGAAAAAAGACATTTTAGCATTTTCAGTTTTCTTAATCATCGTATTACATATATATATAAATATTTATTTATCTAAAAAAATTTCCAGTCAGTTTTCAAGTTGACACAAATATTCTTCTATTTTAAACAACATTTTTTCTTTTTTTCTATACAATGCATTGACCTTGTATATAAAAAAAGTAGAAAAATTCATTAAATGAAAAATTTTCGCTGCAGTCTAATTTAAATATTCTACTTTTCATTTATTATATATGAAAAAATATATAATTACATGAAAATATAATAAATTATATAATATATTTATATAATAAATTATAAATTTATATTTACAATAAAAAAAGTAGAAAAATTCCAAGTTCATTTTTAATTTCTCTAAAAATAAAAAATTCAAAAATTAAAGGTAAACTAATTTTTAATTTTGAATTTATATAAATATTCTACTTTTTATCTATTATATATAAAAATATATTTATAATATATTTACATAAAAAAGTAGAAAAATTCCAAGTTCATTTAATTTCTTCAAAATAAAAAAATTTTTCAAATCAAAAATTAAATTAAAGGTAAATTAATTTAATTTTTACATTTAAATCTACTTTTTTTATTAAAATATAAAAATAGTAGAAAAATTCCAATTTCGTTTAATTGCTTCAAAAGAAATTACTCAAAAATTCATCTACAGTTTAATTTTAATTAATTATATTTGCAAATATATTAATTATATTTTGACAAATAAAAAAAAATAGAAATAATTAATAAAAATAAAAATTTTAATTAAATATTCTATTTTCTATTTATTTTCCAATATTATAGAAAAATTTGTGTCTGTATGAAATATGCTTTAAAAATATTTTCCTTAAATTATAGTCGATTTAATTCGCTGAGATATATATATATATAAGACATTTGGTCAACATTTCCTGTTTTTTTTCTTTTTTTTATATATATATATATCTATAATAATTAAGTTAATTGAAGACTACATTTTGACCGCCGCTGTTGTACACTCCCACGTACGCTTTTACGTTTACTTTGTACATATGTAGATAGTACATATACGTATACGCATCTACGCACTTTGTTAAATCCATTTGCCGAAACCTAATGTTCAAATTGTCCATTAGCAAATCATTTTTTTTTAGTCAAAACTTGTCAAAAAAAAAAAAAGAAAGGGAAAATTATTTTTTAATTATAATTTATAAATGAAATTCATTATTTTATTAATAATATATTATTATATTATTATATAATTTAATTTTACAGAGAAGAAAAAATTTACTTGATTCAAATAAACGATTAGTTAATAATATTGAAGTTAATTTCTCTTAATTCCAGTTAATAAATTAATTATTTTTCAATAAAGAGATGAAAACTTAATGAAGTTAATTTTTTTAATTACAATTTATAACTTAATTATTTTTCAATAATAAGATGAAAAAAATCTCGAAGTTGATTTTTTAATGGCAATTAATAATAAAATTATTTTTCAATAATGAGAAAAAAAATATTATTGTTAATTTTTTAATTGCAGTTGAATAAAACGAAAATGATTTGTGGACGTTTGAATTGTTGTGTTTCATTTTTTTACAGTTCGTTGTATATATAAAAAAAAGTGCATGAAATTAGGGCAAAAGAAAGATACTATTCAACCATAAGGAAGGCAAAATTCTATTAGAGAAATGATACAACGTGTTTTTTTGTAGCGTTATATCAAAGAAGATGATCGAGAATCCCGTTAAATGCGATACTAACAATTTTAGATTTTAATCGAAAGAAAAGGACAAAACAGTGTATAAAGAATACGTTAACAGATGTAAAAAAAAATGACGAGATCGATAAAATAAAGTCCATGGAACGAAGAGGGAGGTCGATTAACACAGATGCAAAAAAAATTCTCTTTTTTATAACAATTTTCATTTTCATTTTCATTTTCATTTATAATCAATTTTCCTTTTAAAGACTTCATTTACAGACTTTAAATTTAAAATTACTCTTTTAATTTAAAGGCAAAATTTTAATTCAAAGTCAAACTTTTAATTTGAACCCAAATTTTAATTTAAAATCAAACTTTTAATTTAAAGTGGAACTTTTAATTTAAAGTCGAAATTTTAATTTAAAATCAAACTTGTAATTTAAAGTTGAACTTTTAATTTAAAGTCAATCTTTTAATTGAAAGTTAAACTTTTAATTGTGAGTCAAAATTTTAATTGAAATCAAACTTTTAATTTGAAATCAAAGACTTCAAATTTTCTCTCACAATAAAAATAGAACTTGAAAAATATTTTTGATAGACATTTAAAAAATTATTTTTTTCCGTTCACAAAAAAATGAATTACTTTTAATTTTTAAACATTGGCCTCATAAATAAAAAGTTATAAAGAGCTTGAAATATTAAAGCACAAGTGACTGCATATCGTATAAAGAAAAATCAAAATTACATAATTAAAATGCTTTGTAAAAATCAAATCTCAATCACATTCAAATTCCTAATTATTAATTATGTAGCTTTATTTAAAATAATAAAGATTTACTCAACTTTGAAAACCATTTTTTGTCATTTTAAGACAAATACTTCAATTCATGATGAATTTATATAAAATATAAATAACAAATTTAAAAGAAGAAAGAAACAAAAAATCATATTTTTAATTAATTCAACACAAAGAAATAATTTTCCTCTAATAATTGAAATTAGAATGAGAATAATATAATAAGCAATTCGCTTTAAAAAAAAAGCATTTTAATTCACGCACAATTTTCGCTCAGGCCAATTAAATCGCGCGAATTGCACACAACATTCCCGAGACGCGTCTTAATTTTTAAATACACGATGAATCACCGCGTTTACGACTTAATTCTTCAAAATAGAATGACGCATATATATAATTATAATTTTTCAATTCTCACCTCCCGGTAGTTCCCGAACAAGTAGCTCAAAAATAGTCATTGTTGTTAGATCGTAAGAATTTAGTATTAGTTTAAAAACAAAAAAAAAAAGGAAAAGAATAATATAGAGAAAAATATAAAAAACGTCAAAGAGAGGTCTTTTTTTTCTTTACCAAAACAATTAGAAATTAAAACAACACACCTTTATATTATATATAAATAAATAAATATTAAAAGCGATTGTGAAGAAGGCAATTAAAAAAAAAAAATTTGACAAAATAATTTAACAGCAACAAGACCCTAAATAAATGACGATTGACGACGTTGTAATTCGACAAAATTTTTTCAAAAAATTATTTACATATGCCTATATAGTGATTAATCGGAAAGTAAGACTGCCGACGAACCGTACAAGCAGTGCCACAAAGCGCAGGCGCGTTGCCAAAAAAAAAAATATTTATGACTGGCTCCAAATTCACAAAAAAAAAAATGAAATCAATTTATTACTTTAAAGTTTAAACGAAAGTAAAATTATTTATAATTCATTATTTATTATTTCATTTCATTTTTTTTTAAACGAAATATCCAAGTTTATTTATTTTTCTTAAAAAATGGAAAAGAAACGGCGAAAAAAAGTTCAAAAAAATTTGGAAATAGTAGTAAATGAATACAGTAAATGAATGAGTACAGTAATTAAATGAATTTAGAACAAATTTAGTACAGTAAATAGTATTCTAGTATACTAAATATTTTAGTAGGGGAACATAGTCTAGGTCGGCCACCTTTTTGACTTTTGTTTATAACTTTTTTTTAAAAATGAATTTGGACAATTGAAGTATATGGTTGGAAAGTCCTGTTTAATAGGAACATTTTTTCTGTACAAAGTAAATTGACAGGTTTAAAAATGAAAAAGTTATAAAGATTTAAAAAAAAAAAATTTTGTAGTCCAGGTTGGCCATTACAGTCAAGGTCGGCCATGTTTAAAATTCAAAGGGCATTAATCTTTAAAAAATAAAATAACATGTTTGGAGTTACGGAAAATTGATTCTTTATTGTTTACAGTTTGTAACTTAATGAAATAACAAAATAATAAAAATAAACAATATAAAAAAATAAATATAAATAAAAAAAAATTTTGCACTAAAATATTAATAAAATTAAATAAAAATATTAGTAAGATGATCAATTATATTATGAGTTATACAGAATTGCAGTTTTTGCAAATGAAGTAGCTCGTCCTCATCTTTGCGCATTTTAAACACATAGTGGCCGACCTTGACAGTAAGTAACATTACCGAATTGTTGTAACCATAAAGAAATACGTTTCGGGATTCGATTTTTTACTTTGTTTTCCTTTCAACCATGAGTCCCACAAATTTTCTGCATACTTGCCTTGACGATTCAATTTGTTTTTTATCTTTTATTAATGGTTTTTCACATTATGCACAAAACTTTTTTTGAGCTTTTTTTGTACCGACGTCACAGAAAACACAATTTTCGATTTTCCGAAAATGTAATTGAACAAAAAGTTAGGTTTCACTAAGACAAGCTTCGACAAAAATGCGCGTAGGTGGCGCTAGTGAACTTGACAAAAAAACGCGAGTGGCCTACCTAGACAGTAGGCCAACCTTGACTACATTCCCCTACCTAGTAATTTTAGTATTATACTATTTTAGTATTACTATTTTAGTAGTAATACTATTTTAATACTAAATACTCCATTACTCGTACGCTAAAAATTCTTTTAAAAAAAATTTTCGCATTACTTTCATCACCGTTTTCAATTTTTTTTTTTTTTTTTTTGTTAAAAATTGTTTCATTTTTCGTTTTGTTTGCTTTTTTTTGGAGCGATTCATAGAGCGCGTGTGCGAGTGTACGTAAATTAGTAATTAAGTAAATTTATTGTGTGTATACATGCTATAGAGTATATAGTATATATATGATGTATATATGATGCAAAAGTATGTCCGTACATTGTGCCGAGTGGAAAATTATGTAAAACTATGAAGAATGCAGAAAAAACTGACAATTACTGACAAATACGGTCTTAAAACTCGCAGTTAATTTCAAACTGTCAAATTGATACCAAACAGGATCAAAAAGTTTCAAATTGATACCAAACACAATCAAAAAGTTTCAGATTGATATCAAAATGTTTCAAATTGATACCAAAACTGTATATAAAATTGATATCAAAATGTTTCAAATTGATATCAAAAAATTTCAATTTGATACCAAACAGTATCAAATTGACACCAAAAAGTTTCCAATTAACACCAAAAAGTATCAGTTTAATATCAAAAAGTTAAAAAAATTTTTTACCAAAAATTTGAATCAATCACTTTTTAGTATTAAATTGATACCAACAAACTCTACAACTGATACCAAATATGGTATCAAATTGACGAAAAAAAACCATAATTTCGCCATCAAATTGTCAATTTTAAATTAACAGTGAAAGAATAAAACATTTGTCAAAACCACTCATAAGCACAAATAAAAAAAAACCGCAATTACAGAATAAAGAAAAAACAAATAATGAAAATAGCAACGAACAAAATAATGACACAATTATTATAAAAAGACATGTCACAAAGTCTATATTATAAATTGTGTCGCAGAAAAATAAAAAGTAAAAATAAGATAATATGGAATATAAAAGAAAAAAGTAGGGGAGAAATTAAATTTTCTTTCTATACTCTAAGCCGAATGTAATTAAATCCTACCACGATGCACAATTAATTAAGCCAAAGTGCTGAGAAATAAGTCACGATGTACGATTCAAACAGTATCGAATAAAGTTAATGTTATTTAAAATTATTTTGTCTCTTTAATTAAAAAAAAAACCTTTTTATAAATTTCCTTTCCTATAGTATTCCGGCGAATAAGAATAATAATATTCAATTCTTAAAATTGAATTTTTATAAAGAAAGTTATAAAAATTTTTTAAAATAATTGAATTCTTTCGGCAAATTATAAACAAATTTTAAGAATAAATGCAATTATCTATCATTTTATTTAAAATTGCATAAAAAATAATTGAAATACTGCGATAAGTTTTGTCATTTTCTTCATAGAGGAAGGATTGTATATTTTCAATTTATAATAATAATAATAACACAGTTTTTCTAAGGATATCAAATTGAGACGTACGTTTTTTGTCTCAATTTGATATCCTTAGAAAAACTGTGAATAAAAATTTTTAAAAATAGTATTAAATTAATTCAAAAACTTACAAGTGATGAAACCTTGGACATGTGGTATTCAGATAGAGAAACGACAGATTTTCTTCCGTGACGTCAAGCAAATGGGCGATATTGAGTACACTCAACAAAGTATTGGATCATCAGAAAGGCCGAAATTGACTAAAAAAAACAAATGTTTGGTTATTAGTGAACAAAAATTATACTATTAAATATAATTTAGCAAAAATTATATTACTGAATATAATTATAAACTGAATATAATTTAGCCGCATTATTCAAAATTTCTTCCGCCTTTAAAGGATAAAAATTCAGGAAAACATCAGATAAATACTTAAAACAAAAAATTTTGAAATTATTTAATTATTATTGTTTCATTAAAATTATTTTAATTAATTTTGTAATTAATTATTATCATTTTTAATTAATTTTAATTATTAATTTCAATTATTTTAATTATTAATTTTAATTATTAATTTCAATTATTTTAATTATTAATTTCAATTATTTTAATTATTAATTTTAATGATTTTTAATTAATGGCCACCATCCAAAGGGGGTGGCAAAAAAAATGTTGCAAACAATGAAATATCCAAGATAAAGGAGAAAGAAATTTTTTTAAGAAACGATAAGAGTGAAAACAGTGTTAAATACTTATCTTTGATTGTAAATGATGGTGAAGGAACTTCTTGGCCTTAGTAAAATTATACGTAACAAAAAAAGAAAAAAAACACGTAACTTCACTATACACTATATACATATCACGTAACACTTACACTTACACGAACCCGCGAAGGAGAGCCCCACCCCGCTCATCCTCAGTGAGACACATCCGATTACGCACTTGTCTCTCCTTACGCACATTTTTTTAAAATAAAATTTTTTAAAATATGTTACAACTTAGCTCCAAAATAATATTGGAAGCAAGAGGGACTTACAAACGTTCACTGAAAATGTCACCCAACATTCCAAACCAATCGTTAAAGAAATGAAGATCACTTTTGAACTCAGCTTCCGAAAAAGTGACTGGATTTTTTTCCTGCTTTCCGACTCTTCTCCTTTATGATTGTACATCAGACCTGTAAATTCAAGCAAAGAGTATTTTCATTAATATTTCGTTACAGTTTTCACATAACTTAGTAGATTAAAGCCAATTATAATTGAAGCTAATCATTAATTATCAATTCATTCAAAACTTTTTACATTACGCTGAAAAAAATTTATTTAATTTAAATAAACCGATTATTTGACTATTATCAATTAAATATTTACTTGGATCGAATAATATTTATTGGAATCAATCAAATGGTATTTGAATCAATAACTTTGGTTTGAATTTTAAAAAAAAAATTTGAAAAAAATACAATTTAATTGAGTCTAATAAATATTATTTCATTCAGTTAAATATTTATTAAGTCAAGTAATCAGTTATTTGAATCAAATAAATTTTTTCCCGGTGTATTTATTCGTAGATTTTTAATCGAAGCTCAGTAGCGTAACGATAGTAGCGTAACGATGTCAAATAAAATCTCAAAAACGCAATGAAAGTGCGGAAGCTGTTATAGATTTCACATGACAGAATAACAATTTCGATAAGATCATTTTCTTTCTTATTTCAACTAAAGAGAATTGCGTTTTTTAAATGATACCCAGTTGTGTACATCTTCAGTACATTATATAGTTTAAGGAACCTTTTCGATCGACCGTTTTTCAAAAAAAGCGCATCTGTCTATTCTATATATCTGTTTTCTATATACGCCTGATGAATTCCTTTGTACTGATTTTCAATTCGTTTCTCATCGATTCAAAATTCGAACATAGTAAGATCGTTAAAGATACTGAAGATATGGATGAAGCTATATGAGAGCGTGAGAGACTAATAACTTTCCCAATGAGAATATAAATACTATATCAATAATTAAAAATATTTTTAAAATAATCAAACATCAATTTTTCCACCGGTGAATTTCTCTTACAGAAAATCTAAAGTCATAGTTTTATTTACCTTATTCGTGAATCGAAATAAACGGAAACCAGCTGAACGGAACTGGGGAAGCGTTGCAAATCGTGTAGAATCGATTTCATACACGATGCACCTTTATTTTGCTAATACGACTTGCAATAAAATGAGCAAACAAATCGATTTTACGTAGCGATTTCGAATACAAGATCATTAGCAACTTGCTTGTTTTTTCTTCTTCTTGTTTATACTGACTTACAAGTAGTCAATATAAAATAGAATAAAATACAATAATTACGATAATTATATTATAATTATATAAATAACTTATTTCACACCGAATGTTTTTTTCAAATTCACCGTATGTCCATTGTTCAAAATAAATTAGCCCTAAATTACAGCACAGTAAATATTCAAAAATATCAAAATTTTGGTGCCACAATTTAACAGACCTGTAAATGTTACTTTATTATTTTCACACATAAAAAAAAATATGTAATTGTATACGAAAAAGTTAAAAATAACCGACTCATTATTTGTTAGTTATTCCCCGCACAAAATAATGAAAATAACAAAGATGTATTCGAAAACAAACAAAGTATATGCGCGTACATGTACCTTATCAAATCATCAAAGCATAAATAAAAAGTGAACAATTATGGTAATGAGCAACTCCTTCTGAAAAGTCTGACCTAATAGCGACAAATTATGAAAAGATTCAACACATCTCTCCATTCAGATTCATCTTAAAACTGTCATGTATCATTTATCAAGCGTCGAAGAGCACACATAAATATAGAAATATACGCGCGATACACGCACCATTTCAGTAAACTTTCCAAGAATCAAAAAAATATCGTAGTTACATTCACGCAAAAAAAAATTTCTACATTGATATTATAAATATTTTTCCAAATTCTGAGAATTTATAACATGAAAAGTATAATAAATATTTAAATAAAATTTCTAACAACGATCACTTCCTGGTAGTTCCTAAAAATTAGTTTCTTCGAGGGAAAGAAAATATTCCATAGAAATGGTCTGAATAATTGTCATTTCTGCCCTAGGGAATAAAATGCCTACTTTAAGCTGATGAAATAAAATAAAATTCTTCAGAATAGATAAATTCTGTGTTGATTTTAGTAAAAATAAATAAAATCAGGGTCACTACTAGACAGGAAAGTCAGGGAAAGTAAAATTGGTCAGGGAAAAATCAGGGATCAAAATTAAAAGTAATGGAAAAAATTACATGAACAATTATTTTCTAAGCTTTATCTTCTGTTTACTAACAATTGTTAGTACAAAAAGTGTTAACTTGTCCCAAACTACTGCTAGAATAATTCCAATTAAAATCTGGGTCATCAAAATTAATTTAATTCACAATTCATAAAAAGTAACCACAGCCGATAGTCAGCAGAAGATGTAAAATTATTTTTTAGCGAAGTTTATCTTCTGTTTAATAACAATTCTTAGTCAATAAATTTTTTACTGGTCCCAAACTACTGCTAGGACAATTCCAATAATTATTCGAGTTATCAAAATTAATTTAATTCACAATTCATAAAAAGTAACCACATGCAGCCAATAATCAGCAGAAGATGCAAAATTATTTTTTAGCGAAGTTTATCTTCTGTTTAGTAACAATTCTTAGTCAATTAATTTTTTACTGGACCCAAACTACTGCTAGAACAATTCTAATAATTATTCGAGTCATCAAAATTAATTTAATTCACAATTCATAAAAAGTAACCACAGCCGATAATCAGCAGAAGATGAAAAATTATTTTTTAGCGAAGTTTATCTTCTGTTTACTAACAATTCTTAGTCAATAAATTTTTTACTGGTCCCAAACTATTAGAAGAACCATTCCAATTAATATCCGAGTCATTAAAATTAATTTAATTCACAATTCATAAAAAGTAACCATAGCCGATAATCAGCTGAAGATGAAAAATTATTTTTTGTGCAAAACCTAAAAAAATTCAATGAGATTTCCATGATTCCATGAATTAAAATTAAATCCCATGACAATTTTGTGATTTCCAGGTTTTCCATGTGACTTGTAGAAACCCTGAAGTTACTCTATATTTATTTTTTCCACAGTAACACGGTGCACCTTATACATAGACGTAAAAATAAGAGTGCTTAAAAATGTATTTTTTTCCTCTATCGAAAGGTATTTCTTGGAGGACACTCGAGGTCGTGAGTCTTAAAGGGCTTAAGGAATCAGTGCTTTGTCCTTCTTTGCTGTTCTTCGGCCGCAACGAGGTGGAATAAGAGCAGTCGACGCATGCTCATCGGCCTGTTATAATTTCGGTTCTATTAGCTTTGCCAGGGGCCCCGGTAAGACCCAGAGGGATTTTTTTTCTTCTTGTTCATTTTTTTTTTTCTTCAAGAGATCGTAAAGTTAAGCCCCTCAAGAGACCCCACGTAGAAAGTATATTAATAATGGGCGTATGCATGTAATAGACTCATATGTGTATTGGATTGAAATTTTGTGTGGATGAGAGTGAATTGTACATAATATAGAAGAGGATGAGAATGGAGCAGGGAAGAGGCCATCCTTGATTTAAAGAGGGGTTCTCTCCGCTCATGACGATGCTGTCAAGTAGCATCTCGACACGGGCCTCACAATAGCTACTTGTTAGCGCACTGTGTGTCAGAGAAAAGGACGAGTCGATATATTTCTTTTCTTTCCTTTACACATCCCGAAATCTTTAATCTCCCTTCAATCTTCATTTTTCACATATTATAACATCAAATACTAATCTTTCTTCGTGATCAACTATTATGTATAAGCATTTAATTACTTCATGTATTGAAGTAAGTCTGTACTAAGAAATTAATGCGGTTACTAACAATCGAGAATGAATCAGTGAAACTGAATCTATTCGTTTAGATAAATGACTATAGCACTTAGTGAAATTCTACTGAAAAATAAGTAAAATTTCATTATTTCTCAGTAGAATATACTTCAGATTTAGAGAGTATCTTTTTAAGGTAATTTTTTACATTCGGATTTTGCGATTGTTTGTATTTTACCCTCGTTGGGTCCCCAATTATATAGTTGGGGTGTATACGCATTGGGTTTTTATAATAAGTTTAATGCAGATACAATACAGTCATTACGCGGTTGTAATGGCGATGCATTGACGCGCAACGCTCAAGCGAGCTGCGAATGGTCCTGCTGTGCATCTGCCCTAAGCCAACAATAGAATGAATCTACCTCAACAAATGTCCCCCCTTTTCTCTTTTTATCCACTAGTTTAAAAATTAACGATGTCATCAAAAACTTTACCAACCCTCAACTATAGATATACTTTTTTCACACGATTTTGAATTTAAAAAAATTATGTGACACTTTTATCGATACAATTATACTCATTTATATAACAATTAATGTTACTCATCCTACGATCCGACGGTTCAATTGAATTCTAATAAATTTAATGACATCAGGGAAATCGGGAAATTAGTAATGTGTTTACTTAATTAATAAACATAATACGTTTTTATATTAAAAAAAACCCTTCTCCTAGTTTAGGAAAAATTATTCTTCTACAATTTAAACCTAATATCGAAGCATGTCACAAACTGTTAGAGAATAATGCAAGACAAATTTATTAGACCCAAATTTGGATTAAATCGTTATTGTCTTGAACGTGAGGTAAATAAATAATATTTCGACGAAACCAGGACATGATTTATGTTCACGTATACACATGCCGATGTATATTGTTCACGCTCGATCGATGTAAATTACAAGAAAAGGTGCAAGAAGGAGAGAGAGAGAGAGAAAGTCAAAAAGGGAGAAGAGAGGACAAGTGATTTCGAGCTGAATATTTATGGGCAGGCCAGTTGAAATTAATTTATGCAGCCGCATAGGCTGCCATGTAATTTATTCGAGGTACGCGCGATCAGTCACTCTCGTCTTGGCTTTTGTGGTAAGGAAATCCTGAACCAACAACTACGGAAGCTATTCAATCACACTGCACTACACAATTTCAATCAATTTTCAATCAAATTCTACCGAGCACATAATAAAACAAAAAGAAAAATTCAACAATCATCAGAAATTCCGAAAAAATTTTTAAAAAATGTATTAAATTATTTCACCGCGCACAGTGAATCAAGTCGCAGCCTTTATCTTTCGACTCGTGCCCAAGGCACACGCCAAACACAGATACATATCACACTCGATCTTGAGTCCGAAACTCGAATTGCGGAGACAATTTGTCCAGACACGGTTCAGGGCAAAGCAGAAAAAGAAGATGATGAAGAAGAAGAAGAAGAAGTAGAAGCTAAAAGAGGTGAGCGGAAAAAAGAGAGATCCCGCATCTTTCAAGGAGCGAGCGTTATGATTTGTGGCGGCCCAGATCCTGATCCTGTCTCTTTGGAAGAAGCACCCACGCTTCCAGGAACCTCCATGCTTCGTTCTTTCCTGTTTGTCTCCTCATCCCGAAGAAAAGAGAGAACGGAATATAGAAAAAACAAATTTTTTCTTTCTCAAAGTCTATAAAATGGAGTGAAATAAATTCCAAGATCGGACTCTCTGATCGCATAGAGCGAATGTAATGCAGACTAATTTGTGAAATTTAAATTCCACCTCGAAGGACCTCCAGATTCAGAACTCGTCCAGAAGATCCAAAAAGCGCGTGCGTACAATCAAGACTCAACCCCCCCTTGAGAATCATTATTAAAAGAGAAGAGGAAAAAAAATTCACGAGCGATTCGAGATAAATTTCGTCGTCGTGGTCGTCGTACGAGGTCTGGATTCGAAATGACCATACGCGCATAGTCCAAAAACTTGTCACCGGGAATTCTTGCAGACTTCCTGGAAAGTGTCGCACGCGAGAACGAGTTATTCCGAGGTCGAATTGGTGTCAACGTGTACGTGGATGACACTATCTTCAAAATTATTGTTCAAGTCTACCGTGTCCTTTCAGAATGAATTACACTGACAATTTTGATTTCTGCAGGAATGTGCGGGTGGTCCAAGGAGCAATATTTTTTTCACCAAACAACATTTACCATTCTCTTCAAAATTCTCTTTCATCATGTCAAACAATGTAACAATATCTCTGTAAATCTACACAAACAATCAGGCGATTGACGTACAAATTTAATTTTCTTTTTTCCTGATTTCCAAACAAGCTCCAATAAATATTATTCTTAGAATAGAATTTTCTTTTGAAATCTAAACATTTAATTTTTTTCCAGTATAATAAAAATTCCTGACTTTTCCCTGACCTCTGGGATTAGAGATAATTTCTTAAATTAAAAATAAATTTTTTGTTTAAAATCACTTACCACTGCAGTAGTTAAAAGCTGGAGCTGGAATGAATTGAAGAAATAGTCCACGATACACAAATGATTCAAACAATCATCTTTTTGAAGAAACGATGAGGACTCGTCGTCAATCCTGATGTCCTATTGATAAACGTTGAAACGAAGAAGGAAGAATGTACTCGTCACTCCCAAAATTCCATCTGTAAATTTAATAAAACGAAGGTGTTAGTAAAGCAGCGGGAGTAATTTTTACTTTTAATTAATACTGTTATTTGTATCAAATCTTAATTTTACGCATCCAAGCTTAACCAGAAATGTTTTACTATAAAAGTAGTAAAAATTACTTTATACATTTTTCTCCGTGTATAGGAAGTTTTTCGGTACAGTCTACGGGTATCTTCTGCTATCAAAAAGTAAAAAGCTCCATAATCCAAATTCAAACTAAAAACCTAGTAATCGCATTTTCCGTAAGGTCGTAAGACCTTCCGGAAAATGCGGTTACTAGGTTTTCACTTTGGAAAGCAGCTTTTACTATGATAGTTCAGTAAAATTAATTCCTTTTTTCCACATTTAAGTCCAACAAGAGCGCAACCTTTATTATCAAGTCTATTGCGGGTTAAAATCAAAATTCTCTTTTTTACTATACTACAAAACTAATTTTTTCGCAGAGAAGAAAGGAGAGGAAGAGAGAGAGAAGAGAGAAGACACAAGCAAGTTGTATGTATGGATTGGCGGATTAGAAGCGGCTGTTCACTAGCAGTGGCCATTGTCAGGCATATAATACGGTTATGATTTAGTTTAGGACGTGAGGATGGGAGCAAACTGAGGGGGCCTGATGGGGACTCTGGTGTCGGATTACAACGAACTAGGCCTCTCGCCACATCCACACGACCATCTCCGTTCATGTTTGCACGTGTCTTAACTGCATGACTACATTTATGGACCGTTCACCATGTCTTACAGTGAAGATAAAATGTAAATCGATCTGTGATTATACATCAACTATATACAAAAAAATACACATTTATTAACCTTTATTCAAAACTAAAAATCATTGCCGAACCATTTTTTCAAGTTTTTCAAATTTAATAATAAAATTGAGTAAAATTTGCCGCAAAATTTAAAAATTTAGAAATTTAGAAAAAATTAACTGATATTTAGAATTCTTCTGTATATTATAAATGTAGGTGGTATATCATCGATAATTATCTCAGTCTTATATATACAGCAATTTCAAAATTAGTAGCTCTTTAACGAATGTAAATTCGGTAAGATGCAAGATAGTGAAACGGCATATCGTACGTTCTGTGAATTCGCGAATTATGAATATGATTATCTCTCCGGTATTCTCTTGACGCGAAGCCAGACCTTTTGCCCCATCCTCGAGGTGTCATCTTACACCCCCTGAGAGTCTCTATCTCTTTCTAGCATTTCATATTCCTCTCTCTTTTCATCATCATCAACTTCCCTATATACATATATACGAATGTATATTTCAAGAAAGTATAAACATAAAATGAGATCCAATTTTTTCCACCTGTGACCGATTTATCCGTTCGCGTGTCGAACATGCAAGAGTTATTTCGAATCTGAACTACAGACTTCACAGTCAAAAATTAATTTTAAAAAAGTAGCAAAAAGTATATTTCAAATTAGCTTTCAAATTAAAAAAAAGTAGCTATCGAAAAATTAAACTTGACGACCAAAGAAACTCGTTTTAGACACTTTGTAAAAATGACAAAAATTCCAATCCGTATTTTTTATTTTCCGTATACTTTTTCCTAATTTTCATCGAAAATATTTACTTCTTTTTTATCCTGCTAATAAATTGAATTTCTGCAACGTATATTATTATTCATCAAAGAATTTAAATATTTATAAAAATAATTTAATTCCTGCGAAGATTTTATAAAAATCTTTAAATAATTGATTTCTTTCGACTAATTTTATGGAAATTTTAATTTAAATAATTGAATTCCTAAAAAATTTTTATTATTTATGAAAATAATTTAAATTACACTTTTTTTAAATAATTCAATTCTTGCGAACGATTTTATTAGAATTTTTCAAAATAATTGAATATTAAAAAAAAAATGTATTACTTTTAAAAATAATTGAATTCATATGATGAATATTGTTATTTAGAAAAATAATTGAATTTTGCAAACAATTTTATTAAAATGCCTACAAATAATTGAATTTTCAATAATAATTTTGTTATTTATCGACATAATTGAATTCTTTCGAAAAATTATTTATCGAAACAATTAAAATGTTGGGCTCTTCAAAAATACTTTACTTATTTAATAGTCGCGACTGTTTGGTAAAAAATCTAAAATTATCAAAAATTATCAAAAATCCGAATTTCTTAAAATTCAACATTTTTTCTCCTCTTTTATAGGATTTAGCTTCATTATTTTTGTGCTTTTGGAAAATACTTTACTTATTTAATAGTCTCGACTCTTTGGTAAAAAATCTAAAATTTCCGAAAATTATCAAAAATTCAAAAATCTGAATTTCTTAAAATTCAACATTTTTTCTTCTCTTTTATGGGATTAAGCTTCATTATTTTTGTGCTTTTGGAAAATACTTTACTTATTCAATAGTCTCGACTGTTTGGTAAAAAATGTAAAATTTTCGAAAATTATCAAAAATTCAAAAAACCGAATTTCTTAAAATTCAACATTTTTTCCTCTCTTTTATGGGATTTAGCTTCATTATTTTTGTGCTTTTGGAAAATACTTTACTTATTTAATAGTCTCGACTCTTTGGTAAAAAATCTAAAATTTTCGAAAATTATCAAAAATTCAAAAATCCGAATTTCTTAAAATTTAACATTTTTTTTCCTTTTTTATGGGATTTAGCTGCATTATTTTTGTGCTTTTGGAAAATACTTTACTTATTAAATAGTCTCGACTCTTTGGTAAAAAATCTAAAATTTTCGAAAATTATCAAAAATTCAAAAATCCGAATTTCTTAAAATTCAACATTTTTTCTCCTTTTTTATGGGATTTAGCTGCATTATTTTTGTGCTTTTGAAAAATACTTTACTTATTCAATAGTCTCGACCGTTTGGTAAAAAATGTAAAATTTTCGAAAATTATCAAAAATTCAAAAATCCGAATTTCTTAAAATTCAACATTTTTTCCTCTCTTTTATGGGATTTAGCTTCATTATTTTTGTGCTTTTGGAAAATACTTTACTTATTTAATAGTCTCGACTCTTTGGTAAAAAATCTAAAATTTTCGAAAATTATCAAAAATTCAAAAATCCGAATTTCTTAAAATTTAACATTTTTTTTCCTTTTTTATGGGATTTAGCTGCATTATTTTTGTGCTTTTGGAAAATACTTTACTTATTAAATAGTCTCGACTCTTTGGTAAAAAATCTAAAATTTTCGAAAATTATCAAAAATTCAAAAATCCGAATTTCTTAAAATTCAACATTTTTTCTCCTTTTTTATGGGATTTAGCTGCATTATTTTTGTGCTTTTGAAAAATACTTTACTTATTCAATAGTCTCGACCGTTTGGTAAAAAATGTAAAATTTTCGAAAATTATCAAAAATTCAAAAATCCGAATTTCTTAAAATTCAACATTTTTTCCTCTCTTTTATGGGATTTAGCTTCATTATTTTTGTGCTTTTGGAAAATACTTTACTTATTTAATAGTCTCGAATCTTTGGTAAAAAATCTAAAATTTTCGAAAATTATCAAAAATTCAAAAATCCGAATTTCTTAAAATTCAACATTTTTTCCTCTCTTTTATGGGATTTAGCTTCATTATTTTTGTGCTTTTGAAAAATACTTTACTTATTTAATAGTCTCGACTGTTTGGTAAAAAATCTAAAATTTTCGAAAATTATCAAAAATTCAAAAATCCGAATTTCTTAAAATTCAACATTTTTTCCTCTCTTTTATGGGATTTAGCTTCATTATTTTTGTGCTTTTGGAAAATACTTTACTTATTCAATAGTCTCGACTGTTTGGTAAAAAATGTAAAATTTTCGAAAATTATCAAAAATTCAAAAAACCGAATTTCTTAAAATTCAACATTTTTTCTTCTCTTTTATGGGATTTTGCTTCATTATTTTTGTGCTTTTGGAAAATACTTTACTTATTTAATAAAATTTCGAATATTTTTTTAAAATAATTTAATTGTTTTAAAGAATTTGATTATAATTTTTGAAAATATAGTTTTTTCATTTCCAGTAGTAACGAATTTAAAGTAGTGTACATTCTAAAAAAAAACAGAAATAGTAGCTTTTAGTGGGTCAAATCTAAAAAAGTACCTAAACAGTTGGATAACGTAAAAAAATAGTAAATAAGATTTTTGAAGTACATGATTTTCTGGGCTGACCATAAAAGACTGTGACTACTTACTTTTAGGTTAACTTTTGAACAATTTACTTCCACAGCATCTAAACTTGCAACAACATCGAAAACATTGCTTTAATATTGTGAAACTTGCAGCATTATGGACAACATTGCCTTCACAGTTTCTCTAAGGATATCAAATTGAGACAAAAGAAAGTATCAAAAAGTTGGTTCGCAACTATTTTGATCCTTTTTTATATAATTAGCATCTGAATGACTAAAGCAACCCAAAGGTAATGTCTGTTACATCCAACATTATGATTCCGCCAACCGAAATTATGTCAGTAAAGATACATTTTAGGATCCGAATCCTTTTGGTCCGGATACATCCTTAGAGAATAAATTACCCAAAGATACCTATATATTCAAAATGAATTTCTCACGACAACTCATCACACAAATCAAAGCAGATCCATTCCTGATAAATCTTTCTCCATAAATTCCGACAATTTACATCTAAACAATAATTTTACAACATCAGTGGTGGTCCGTGCGGGAAAATACAGTTGCAGACCCAGCGTGGTTCCTCGTGAGCATTACCAGCTCTTGCCACGATTGTATGAGCTGTTAACGTTAACTAATTCAGTCGAAACTCAACTTCGCCCACGCATTATAGACCATACACTCACAAACCTTCGGATATATTCCACTACAAAAGTAGTGTATGGAGATGGGTTATCGACATTGGTTCAAGCGCGTTTGAAACATATATATAGACTATACAATAAATTTATGGGGTAACGAGGTGCCCTCAGGGAGAAGGGGTCGCCTGTTCACCCGGTTTGCGATAGCCATCGAGCGAGCATCGAAAAGGCGCTAAGTAAC